GGTGGCATCTCTTGTCTCTCATTACACTGGAGTATTGATTGGAAAGTTTGGTCCAGGGTTAAGAGGGCTATAGTCTGGACCACTAGCACTATTTACAGCAAACAGGTTTTCCTTGGAGGTCCTAATTTCAGTACTGAGCAGATCTACTGTACATTTGTTCAGCGTCTGAGATCTAACAAGATCACATCACAAGGTATAAAACTGTTTTCACTCAGGTTTCAATCTTGGCATGATGGGTGAGACTTGGGCTCTCTGTAATTGGCCAGTGGGTAGCGATTTCAGTTAGATTCAGTCTGGGTCGAGGTTTTAGTTGTGTTACCAACTCAGTTTCATTCAATTCAGCAGCTTGTTACTAACTTTTCATCAGAGTTGACTGAGACAAGAGCAGGGGGAGACATCATAACCTCTGTTCAATTTATCGTTCTTTCGTTTCTTCCGTCCTTTGACTTTGTCGTTGTTATCAGACTTCGGTGAAGTTTGAAACCACATCGTCCCATCTACAGTGTTCTGTTCTTCAGCCCCTTACGCAACTTCTCAGCTTAGTTTAAAAAAAAAGCTTTTGAGAAAGAAGAAACTCCTTGGATGCGCCTTTTCTTTTAGAATAGTTTTCAGTCTGTTCTTCTTTTTAAAAAAACTAAATCTTTCCCCTGCGAGCCCTCTTTTGCCGTGTGAACAAGTATTGAAAATTATGAATGGTCTCTCGGAAATTTCAACACTCCCCCCCACCCACTCTTCAACTCCCTTCTCCGTTTAAACTCGTTTTGGCGCGGGCAGGGCTGTATCGACAGTAATCAAGATTTATGGGCGCTGTCTCATGTCCCAGCAGTAATGAATGTCAGTCTGCAAATTATCCTTGCCAAGTGACATCAGCAGCTGTCAGTGGGATAAAGTGCAGTGTTATCACCATGTATGGCCGTTCATGTGTCAGGAGACTTACTTTTATTTGGAGGTAGTCCCATCAATATTCATTGGGAAGCCATTCCACTGTGCAGGAATTACGGTTGTTTTCTGAACCTTCTTGAGACAGGAAATAGAATGTCTAAAGGCCTGCATGGGTATTCATTCAAAGCAGGTTTTGCTTAGGTTGTTTAAGATGAGAAAAGAGTCTAAAACCTGGTGATATATCTCCTCACCCGAGCCAGAACACTCTATTGGTGTCTTTAAGTCAAACCGAAGACTCTGCAAAGTGACGATCACAGATAATGTGGCTAGGCACTGCTAGCACAATTGAATTTCAGAAATCATAAAGATTTGGGTAGAATCAAAATGTTTTTCATCTGTTATACAGACCTTTCCTATATTGTTGCAGGGAAAAGTGCTGATCTTATTTTGCAGCTCACAACATTTTAAAGTAACCATACAAACACAGAAAAGTACAAATGAGAAAGGGACATCCGATGTCCTAAGCTACAACCCATTGGCTGTTAGTAGCTCATTGAACCAAAGATCTTATCCAGCCGTTTCTTGAAAGAACCCAAGCAATCATCTTCAACAACATAATTTGATATGTCCAGACAGGAGAGATTCATTTCCTTTGATGTATCCATGTTTGACATGCCGTCCTGGCCTGAATTTTGTCTGGCTGCTCTCCTTTGAAACATTTCTAAGGCAGCATTGTCCTTTTTATAGTGCGGTGACCAGAATTGTACATAGTATTAAAAATGAAGTTTAAGTAAAGTTCTGTTGAGATCTTTTGATTGAAATTCTACAAATTGCACTACATACCCATACCCGTTAAGTTTGACACAGAAGTGCTATTTGAGGAAGAAAATCTGAATATACAAATTCTTTTTGGTGTTTTTATTAATTAGATGTTTTAGGTCACTTGACACAAATGGTATTATCCTTAGCAGCCTGATTCTTACACTGCTGAAAAAAAAACACTTTTTCCTTAACTTCTCCTTTATAGCTGATTACACATTAAATAGCAGAAATGAATCTAAGTCTACTGTTAGTCCTCTCACTGCTCCACTCACTGTCCTCCCAGGCAGCCGAACTATGTGCTAAAGATTAAAGATTACTTGAGAGAGCGACTCCTGACCGACACCAGCTCTTCCACACTGGCTCCGTCATTCATTCTCAGCTGATTACCTCTGGGGAGGCCCTGGGCGTAAATTGCATTAAAGTTAATATTTGATTGCAGCTAATTGGAACTCACACTTTAATTCTAAAGTATTCTCAGCCCTGTTCACACCCCCCTCCCCAGGGACCTCAGTGGAAACAGCTCATCGCAGATAGAGCTCTAAGAAAGAAGAGAGGAGCACAAACAGCACTGCATGGAGTTTGCTGTAGGGCCAGAACACAGAATGAGCTATTTTGCAATGAAGTGTCATAAAAAGCCAAAGGAAAGGGCATTAAAAACCATAAAAATAATATGGTTAATAATATAAGTTGTAAAATATTGCATGAATCAATGTCCATGCTGTGAAGTGGATTAAGAGTTTGGATGACTCACCCAACCCCTTTCCCCTAAATGGATGGGTCACTTTCCTACTCACACTGGTACCCAGATTTACAGTTGGGGGGAGGGAGAATGCAGGGCCGGGTTTTGGTGTTTTATAAGCACTTTCACTCCGAAATGTGAAAAAAGAGGGATTAACACCAATTGAATTACATCGATTGACGTGATGCACTTTAAACTATTCTAATGCTCAACCACGTGATTGATGGAGCGAGTCGGGCGACCATCACTTTCGACACTTCTAGTTTCTAGAATAGCCGCTAGATAGCATGTGATTATTGATCTGGAGCACCTAGAGTCGATCGCAAGCATGTTGTTTCAGTTTGTTTTTTGTTAGTCACTAGTGTTTCCCTCCTTCGTAGGCCCTAAAAATGTCGTAGGCCCTAGGTACTCTGCCTACAGTGCCTAATGGGAAATCCAGCACTGGGAGAATGGAGCAATGGAATTAAGGTACTTTGCTGAGGAGCAGGTACAAGCAGCCAGCACTGCAGACAGAAGCAAGAACCTTCTACTTCACAAATTCAAAGCCATGGCCTTTGCTCCATAATGGCCCCTACCTGGTTAGGTAATCGCCGATTAACATTGAAATCATGATCCTACCATAAAAAATATATTATAAGGCACAAGAAGGAAGGGCAGTATCTCAACAGGTCATGTGCATTGAGCCAGCCATTGCCAGGCAGGTGAAAGCCAGGGGGTGTACAGGTGCAGGACAAGCAGGTAGGCCTTAAAGGAGCTGCAGAAGGAGAAACTCCAGAGCCAGGAAGCACAAGGGCAAGAGCTGTGCCAGCGTGTTCAGTCTGTGTGTGTTTGTGGGGGAAGACGGGGTTGCGTTTCAGAGTGGCCCAGCGGGCATGTTCATCAGCACAGGCATCTATCTAATCTTAGCAGGAAAAAGAGCACCGTTCACCCCTAATCAATCTTCATGGCTGCACAGCCTGCCAGCACATTCTCCTTGCTTACGGAATCCTGGACAGGGCTGAAAAGATTGGAGAGATCCCAGAGCAAACCAGGGGCTGGGAGCACCGCTGTCTGACTCCTGGAGGTAGTGTGGGTGGGCGGTACATGTCTTAATACGGTCATGTCAGGCCTCACAAGCCCCTGGGGAATATCTGTCCTGATGCTTCATCTTCACCAGCTCAGTGAGAAGCTCGATGACTGAGAAATTTCCTCACGGGCTGCTGCACCTTGCCGTTTGTCTTCGTTAAGTCATGAAGTGCCCCAGTGTCAGCAAATATTTCCTATCCAGCTCTTCTGTCTCGTTCAGAACCTGTGTGGTCGACATTTTCATCAACGAGACTGACCTCATTCTGTTATGCTGTTTCCATCATTTCTTTATTGGATGATGGATTTTTTTCTGAATCTTTATTGATTTGGGGAGTTAATAGGTAACCTCACAAATGAACACATGCACTGTTCTGTTATAGAAATGAACAGCAGAGAGAGTATTTTCAATGGTGTTGGAAGAGAATGTGCAGCACAGATAAATTATGTCCTTTTCATGTATGAAAATAAAATTATTTATGAGGTTTATGGCTCTCCATGAAAAACTAATCTGAGTATTGCACAAAGCAATAGTGGTGTTACAAAAAGACCTGATCACCATAAAAGACCACATTAAATTTAATGCTGACCAGTGCAAAACATTACGCGTAGTTCACTAGGAATAACAAAACGCAAGAGTTAAGCATATTGAAAATGTTGATTGCGTATTTTAGACATAGTGGAAGTGGCTTGCTCTGGGTTCAATTCATCAAAAGCTCACAGGTTTTTGGCGATTTTTAGATTACCTTTATAAAACTAACAGGACAAGGTCACATGGATATAAGGCTTTTATGAGTTTGAAAACTAAGGAGCGAAGCGATGAGGGGGGGAATTCTCCGATAATCTTTTATATTATTAATTATACCAAGGAGTCAATCCGTTATTCACACGCTCCTTACACCCGTATGGATCCAGGCGCTAGGGACTCTAGATACTGTATCTCGTTGGCGCACACCTGCGCCTGCTGGGTGTTTCCTGGCGTCTTCTTCACCTGTACTTTATGTGTAGATCGAGGAAAGCACACCTTGCCAAAACTATAGGCAGCAAAAGCATGTTTGCGTTTTCGGAAGCTGACGGTACGTAACTACCTTTGTGCCTAAAGATACATGATGAAAATGTTGTATTTCCCTCGGAGTGCTCTTTAAAAACATGACTTGTTTAAGTGTCCTGGAGATGTGTGCATGTACAGTACAACAGCCAGGAACGGGGGAAAAGGTAGGGGAGACACGAAGAGATGTCGTGCCTTTTCTATTTCAAAGCCGACCCCCCTGCTCATCGCCGCGTTCTCCTAACCTGTCACTGCCGGCGCAAACGGAGTGAGAAAGCGGACTGGCAGCGGTTCTCGGCCCCTAGCAGATTTATTTGGAAGTTTGAACTAATATTTATGTAACCCGTGGGGACCTGCGTGGGAGTTCTTTTTTTTTCTTCGAGATAGAGCGGCAGGTCCATTAATACCGCCAGCAGCCCGGGCGAGAGGTTGCAACGGGCGGCAGAGGATTACCACATAAAAATTATCTGGTGACTCAGCAGCCAAAAATGCTCCAGTCTAAGAAGAGCTCTGGGGAGGGAGGCTGTACAGCGCCACTTAGAGCGCGAAGGCCATTCTTCTCCGATAGCAGCGGCTGCGAGAGCCTCTCTCCCAAGCTGGTCCACGGGGCTTCACGTTCATCAGGTAAGTCGGTTTCTCAAGCACAAAAATGGATTGGGAAATGACTTGAAAATAACCCAATAGCATTGCCCCCAGAAAGTACCTGTGCCCCTCTCCTTTATTGTACAGTAACACTTAGTGCAATGCTCTGTAATTGCAGTTATTTCAAGTGCTAGTGCCTGTGATGGAATACTGTCAAATGTTGCACGCTCAATGGAGTTTGACAAACATGTCAATCCTTTTAATTCTGCTCGATCTAGGCTTTCCCCCATGTCTAGGAGATGTAGTGCCAAAAAAAGAAGCTTGCCCGAGCTGTTTTGTGACTTCTGTTTTTGTAGATAATGTAAATCAATGTGTAAGCATCCTGTGTGCATACTAGACTTCCAATGTGAAAAGCTGATGCAGGTTTAGTAATTTTATTAACAACCCTTTTAAGGTAAATAACTGTTCTCTAGTACATCGTAAAGACATTTGGTAAGACTGGGCCTGAGTAACGGCTTCTACCTTGGAAAAATTAAAATGAGAATCCTTGTTTTTACTTTTTTTTTTACCAGGGCAGATTCTGCAGCGGACTCTTCACTTGGACTGAATAGGCAGAGATTGATTGGCGGCGAAGGATTTTTTCCAGGGGACTTTGAAGATGTTTATTCTTCTTCTGAGTGGAAATTTACACAGGCTTGACTGGGCCCCCCAGTGAAAGTGACCCTGGACAGATAAGCAGAATTCCATTGGGAATTCCGATCGGTATGTGTGCTGGGGTGGAGTGGGGAGGGATACAGCCACTGCTCAGGTCTTCAGAGATCGGGGAAACACCTAAAGACCTCTACAGGTAACATAATCGATCCCATGGAATAGCCTAATTTTTTTAAAATGGCTGTTTAGAGAGGGTTCAAGGGCTTTGAAGTTGATGAAAGCTCATTTTTCATAGGAAATGTTTCTTTCTACAATTGCTTTCAAATATTCCACTGGTATTTGAAGTGCCCACTATCATGTTAAGATCATTCCAAGGCAAGTGATCTATGCGTCTGTTATCAGGATCCTTTTGTTAAAGATCATGACAATCTGGAGCCCATCTTGGCAGTACAGGACACAAAGCAGGAGCACACCATGAGGAGCAGTGTCAGTGTGGATTTGTGGCATGGGCTCGAAATCCTTCGTTAAAGGGTTGTGGGTTCACATGAGGTACTGATTGGCCACCAGCCTGGACACAGCAATTAAGGTAATAAATTCAGCACTTTTTCTGTTTTTGTTTTGATTATATCATCTGCAGCTGTTAAATGGCATTGGCCATTTGATAAGTTTCATTTATTCCCCCAAAAATGTAAATATGACCTGTTACACTTTGCACATAGGATTTACTCAAACATGAATAATATGTAAATTACCCAATAGGCTCAGTAATGCAGCTGGTTGGCAATTCTATCCGGAGGTGGAATGGAGAAATTGATTCATTCAAGCGTATGAGTTTATTTATTGTGCCTATGTGGATAATTACTTAAAAGGTACCATGGTTTGCATGTTTTTCACTGAAAAATTGGTTTTAAATTTACCTAGTTTAAACAGTGTGTGTGTGTGTGTTTATGCTGGGTCATCCATTTGAATGGTCTGTATAAGGCAGTGCTTACTTTGGTAATGCTTTGCATTTGTTTAGATTTGGTTGGTGTTGGTGGCTTGCCTATTGTTTTTTTTTTTACCTGATCTTTGAGTTTCCATAACCTTCTGCCAGCATGTAATGTACTTTATATTGGCATACAAGGACTGGATGCCTATCAAAGTGTCCAGTCAAGACATGGTCTAGCTGCACTGTTACTGCCAGATAACGGGGCTTAAAAACTGAAACATCATCTGGGTATATGGTTCATGTTGAGAATTTCTGGTCTTCAAATAGGTTGCGGAAATGTTATTATTGTGCGTGCATAGTTAAAATGAACAGAAAGGGGGGGGATAAGCAATCTGTAGGGACACCCACTGAAATTTGTTAGAACATTGCATGGTTTAATTTGGTAATATGTGGTCATTTCCCTTCATGGCATTGCTTAAAATGTAGTAATCAGCCTAAAGAGTGGTGGAGCAATTGTAGATGTCACACTTGATTAACTGCCTCCTTAGAGAATGAGTAATGTCTTGTTGATGACATGCCTTCATCAGATACTTCCTTATTGGTGGAAATGGACGTGATTCAAGATGGATCCTAGTCCAAGTATTAAAATCAAGCTAAGATGTTTTGATTCGATCTCTTGTATATCCCTTTTCAAAGAGCATTCCACAAGTGTCGTGTTTCCTGTTTGACAGAATCACAGTATTAATTCTTTGCATTTTGTGTACTGCTGTTCACTGCAGGGATCCCAAGAGTTGTGAAGGAGAGGACCCACTTTGTCTGCCATTGAAATGCAGCTCCACCTGTGTGATGTGCAGCAAGCCCATGTCCCAGCAGATCAGGGGGAGAATTGAGAAATGGCTTCACCACATGGATTAAGGGGAAACTAGGGAGGCCAGATTGTGCAAACCCAGAGTGGAATTGAGCCAGGATTAAGGCCTCAACCTGTGCAAATGCTACCATGAGATCTTTAATGACCAAGTAGTCATGACCTTTCGGTTAATGTCTCATCCTAAGGCTGGCAGCTCCACAGCACAGTCTCACCAGTGACCGTGCTGGGGCATTGACTTGAAAACTCTGGTCCAGTAGAAAATCTACATCCACCACTTGCAGAAGTTACCTGTTCTTCTTTGGAGGTCTCCCATTCCAGTACTGATTGGCGCAGCCTTGCTTAGCTTCCAAGATCTGACAAGATCCAATACCATTTTTGAGGTGGTAATCCTGTGCCTAGAATTGCAGTATGCTCCTGTATGTGAAAATATTTGGGGAGAAAATGCACAATGCCACCAATCCCATTTATAGGAAATAGGACCGGTTTGTATATTGAATTTTTCAGAATAAAAGCTGAATTGTTCATCTCCCTTCACGTTCTGTCTCTTCTTGCTACCACAAACACATCATTGGGAGATGCTACAGTACATCAGTGCAAAGAATCTCATTTATCAGTCTTAACCTGTGTAGCAGACTTCTTGTTAAATATTTTTTTTGTGTGTCACTTGCTACCTTTAAAAATGTGTGAATAAGTTCGTAAAAAAATAAAAATAAAAGCAACACAACCTCCCCCATATTCTTAAATGGCTTTGTATGGAAGGTTCTTGTAACTGTCTAGCTGTTATGTTGCCCCCTTGATTTAAGTGCTGCATTTCTACATGATTTTCCCTCTCTGAAAAGTAGAGGATGAAAAAGTCAGCTGAGGGTGAATGTTTCCTCCATCATAGACTGGGCCCTTGGTCTATAGCACAGTACTCAACAGAAGAGCCTATCCAAATGCCTGTAAACGATTTCACCCCAAATTCTGAGACTCTTGTGTGAAACTACCCTACTTCAACTTTGTAGTTAAATCTATACCTTTAGGTCTTTTTATAGTTGATTTGAACCAATGACTTTTGAAAAAGGACAGTTCCCTATAAATCACTTTGGTGTCTTGTTAGAAAGTGGTTATGTAATTAATTACTCTGGTTTTGTCATGCAGTTTGGGCGAAACAAAAACCAGAAGGTGCAGGTAGGCCCTCCAGGAAATTGGTTTGAGACCCCCAGCTGTGGTATTCACGGGAGGGACCCTAGCTCATTGCTTTTCGTCTGTGTCGAGGGCTTGGTGAGAGTGCCTGCGGAGCAGACGGAGGGCGAGGTGTGAGGGGAGCAGGCAGGCACCGCGCCAGCACCTTGGCAACGTAAGAGCCCCTCGCCTCCCTGCTGACCCGAAGCGAATCAATCCTCGTAATGAGAAAGCAATTTGAAAGAAAAAAAATGTTGCAATTACATGGCCTGTGTGGCCTCCGTTCCCCGTGGGCTGATTAAAAGTAAACAGTGACGGAGTCCTCAGAACTTTTGTTTTTCTTTCTTTCCCAAAAAACCACAAACCTCGGAGGTGCTCTTAGGCGGATTAACAAAACTAAAGAAAGCTACATACAGCTTTGTGTCTGTGTGCAAATGTGCATAAAGTAGACTAGTTTATTCTGCACTGTGCTGTGGAACAATCAGAACTAGCTACTGTATTGCTGATAGTTCCTGATAGATCTGAACAACAGACATCAACAACCCTGTAACCACTCTCCTCTCGCCACCAACTCCATCTCTCCTTGGTTTCAGCAGACGGCTCACTCAAGTAGAAGGAACGTGCGAGGACTTTCCTGTATTTTTTTTTCAGGAACTTTCACTGTGAGAGATGTGATCAGGCCCTGAGCCCTGTCAAGGAAGCTGACTTTGAGCTACTCCAGCTCCAGGCGATGATGCATGTACAGATCCTTCCATTAATAACCTCACACGAACCCTGGATTCTGTTCAACTTTAAAAAGCCTAATCACACCCCCCCCCCAACCCTCCTCCAGAGGGCCTCACGAGATGTGCAAGTGTGAATACATGAGCCTCCAATGTTACAGTACATGCAGCAAATACTGTATTCTCCTCTTAGCTGCGTTCAAACACTGCAGTCTAAATAGAGAACGCTGCTGGATGGAGTTGATGTGCTATGTACTGTTGACTGTCATTCTTTGGTGCATAAGATCAGGTTTGATCTCGGCTGCTTGTCTCAAGCACTACCAGTAGACGGAAGGAGATTAATACACTTTTCAGGTCCTCGGTTTAGAACAAGATAGCAAGTGGATGTGATCGGCGTTTTTTAGGTGAAGTTCAGTAATATGGGTCTATTGTGAATGTCCACAAATGACCAGTGTTTGGCAATGGAGGTGATTCAGAGATCTTCAGAGGAGCATCTCCCAACCTAAGTGTCTGCTAGTTTGGCATTCTCACTGTAATCTACTGCGATTTTCTGGGATTGTGGCCATTGTGTTTGGGAGACATGTTTGAAATAAAACTGGTCTGCTTACTTTAGCTGCCTGAGTTAATCAGGGATTTCCATTTTTATTTGAATGGGGGACCTCTTTTCAATAAATCCCTCATATATTGCAGGATTTGAAGCAAAACAAGGTGAAATATATAACTGTAAATCATTAAATTATTCTAAAATGTTTAACACTGAACTGCAACAAAACAGACACTTTGTATGAGTTATGAGGTTACACACAGCTATCCTGGAGTAGGAGGTTCCTTTATTTCTCAGGGGCTCCCAGAGTTGCCTAGACCCAGTGATGAAGACCCCTGGCTTCTGCCAGTAATGCAATATTGAAAGACAAGTAGATCTAAAAAGAAAAAAACACAGACTGGACCAGTGCTGTTGAAAAACATTTTTACTCTGAGCTGCCAAGCAAACTATCTTTCAGTTTTCCCAAACCAACATTTTATCAGAATTACAGACAGAATTGGGACCTATGTTGCTTTATTATTCACTTTATTGCTGGAGTGCTGCAGTCTTGTGTGTTATTCAGCTTCAGAAAAAGCTAGTTGGCAACACATTTTTCAAATTCTGTCTTCACTGTCAATGTCTGTCTGTACAAATTCACTGTGGTTTTCTATGTACTCTTTTGACTAATTTGCACTTTAAATCATCCAATTAAGGGAAGAATAATAGCTTATAAAAAATCATGACAAAGTGTTTTATATTATGTAATTTTTAAACTCTGCCAGATAATTAACAAGGAGCAAATGGGCACGTCTCTGAGCATCTATAAATTAAACTGTTATACTTAGGTTACCAGAGCTTAACAGGACTGCACGTTGTCATTTTTTTACCCTTTTCCCCATATGGCACAGCTATCTGTATACAGATACAGGTTGTTTTTCCTGTTTGCTGCTTAACTTTGAATCTTGTTGACACTGTTCACTGAGTCTGCACAGACAGTCGTAGATCTCCTGGTATTTAACCAACTAGGTAGTCATTAATTCAGAAGAAAGAGTGAAAAGGGGAGGTAGAACGTGGGTTATTGAAATGTCTCAGTATGAATGGCAGTGGTTAATGCAGAATATATGACAGAAATATAATATATCAAGATCTAGCAGTCTCATTCCACCTACAAAGGCACAATTCTCCCACCGCTCACATTACCCATTGGTAGCTCTGTTGGCAACACACAGCCCAGGTTAACCCCAAACTCTGCCCCACCTGCCAGCCCAAACTCCCAACCCAATGGATGGGGTTCATTCTACTGGGAGGGTGAGAGAAGCCCCAGGCTAAGAGAAAGCTACCGCCGAGTGACAAGTTTGCGATTTGCAAACTGCTTGGAGTTGAAAGTTCTGATTTAATCCAGACTAACAATTACATCCAGGTGAACTGAGCAAACAATGAAAGCAGATGTTTTCCCAGATCAGCCCTGGGGTTTACTGTTGAGAAAAGGAGCCCTCTTGATCGGTGTTCGTTAGGCTGAAAGGCAGACCATCGTTGGTCACAGCTAAATTGAACCAACCATCAATTTACAATTGGATTATTGTGTTTTTTAAGTTCAAAATGTGACCGGATCATTGCTGAGTGCATATTTGTTTTTAGAAAAGAACAGCTGTTCACTGTTCCTGTAGATTTCTTTCTCCAACACGTTACAAGTGTGTTTCCTCTGTGCTGTTTAAGATCGTGACAATTATAGTCCAAACATAATAGATCACCTCTATTATCTCATCATCTGCAACAGGGGGAACGTTTTTTCAGCACTGTTGCAGAACTGAGAGGTTCGCCTTATGCACAGTGCTGTATACATTAAAACTTGCACTCCAAATAGTCTAATCGTAAATCTGTTTTTCCAGATCTCTGAATCCAGCCTGCACTGTATCATTGAGCGCCATTCTGTGAGATGCTGGCACTCGCTCATAGAATCCATGCAAACAGGAGCATGTGTCACGCTAACTTGAACACAGGGATGTGTGAAAAACTCCTTTCCTTTCTCAGGCCAGGTGAAATATTTCTCTTTTTTCTTCTCCCAGAGTGCTGAAAAACCAGTGCAGGACTGTGGCAGCTGTTCTTCAACTTGCTGTATTAAATCACCCCAGTCAGCCTAATACTACCCCTCCATATACCCAAAAAACTCCATCAGAGTAATCAGATAATTGTCATCGAGCTCTACATGTGAAATATTTTTTGCCCTTTGGGTACTGAAAAAACCTTGAAATAATTAATTCAATTGCATGGCTCTGATTAATGTGAAACAAGAGAAGCTGCACCTGACTAAATCACTGCGTTTTCACTCTTTTCTTCAGAGCCTGTGTTAAACATGGTTATCTCAGATGAGATGAGACTGTGATTTATCAGTTATACTGCCAACAGTATGGTAAGGGTAGTAGTGTGAAATTCTCATGACAGGAGTAGAGTCACTATGGAAATTCCAGATATAAGAAGGAATATGGGCATGAGGGTAATTAGTATGTCACCCTTCTTATAAAGTTACACTTTTGAAAAATGGTTGGGGTATGACATTCATGCATACACAGCCAGCACAACCCTCATACAAGGGCACTTAGACACTACTATCAATCTCTATGTAGCTTTTTGTGAACCTAAGCATATGAACTTGGGGTTTTCACCTAGCCTATTAAAGGAAGCCTTTTCATTTACAAGCCTTCTTTACAATGTTTTGGCTCTCCACTTGTCAAATTATTGCTAGCTGTACTGCTTTTACATTTTTATGACAGTGCAAACTGTTTTTAAACTGGAAGAAAGAAGAAAGCTTTGACTAACGTACTGTAGTTCCAGCTACAAACAGCACTGTATCAACAAGGAAAAGAGCACCGTCCACATTTATCTTGTCATTGAACCTTCGCATGCTGCCCAAGGCCAGGATGTTATGATTGGGTTTGCACATGCTTGGTGGTTAGGTGCAGCTGTACCATCTGCTTGCTGTGATGCAGTATCAGTAGGGCCCTGTCATCACTGATAGCACAGAGCCTAAAATGACAAAACTCCAGCGGCAGGTGGAACCTGAGCCTGTCATCACAGAACTGAGTTTTTCTGCCCTGTCTAAGTTGGGAATGAAAAGAAGGATTAAGGAATACCAAAGCAAACTTGGCAGAATGGCAGAGAGAAAGCAAGACAAGGCAGAAATAATAATCCAAGTTTCCAATAGACTATAGGGCAGGAAAAGAATACTGTTTTTTGTATACCCATTGTATACTTTCATATAACACACAGATCCGCACAGAAATCCATTTCTTCTTTTTTGTTGAAGAAATTATTTAAGAGATTTTATTCATATTTAGAGAATGCCAATCCAAATTTCAATAGAAAGGGGTTGAATGTATATTTTTATTACCTAGAAAGTGTTTTTCTGGTCAGAGACAAAAGGTTGAGAAACCAGTGAAAACTGATAGAATATGTTAGGATTATGATTTGCATTTGTAACTGGAAAATGTGAAAATTCAGTTTAAATAGATGAATAAATATAGATATATTTTGGTGTTGGCTGTTAAACAGATGGTCCTGGGACAGTGCTGTTCCACGGGAGCTGCCTGTCAGTGCAGGCCTGCTTTTCAATATTCTGCCTGATTTCTGGTACACATCCTCAACCTTTAATTGCGTAGAAAGGAAAACCTAAAACCACAGTAAATCAGTTAGGTCAGTATTGCTGAAGACAGAAGCTGAAACCTTGTTGCCGGCCTCCCAGTGTTGCTGAGGTTAGTTCTGCAGTCTGATGGGATCTCTCTTCTGTCTAAAAGGTCCATCAGATCCGGGTCAGTTGGTGCCAGAAGCTGGACGGCATGAGGCTCTCCATCTTGTCCATGAAGAAGCCCAGAGGAGCAAACAGTGTACTGAAGAACTGCAAAGACAAAGGAAAGGCATTGCTCACGGTTAGTCACCTGGCTTCGTTACTCTGCCATCTTGACAACTAGCAGCAAAGAGCTGACATGGATGAGGAGAAAAAAAAACTTCTACTGTCCTAGTGGTATCAACCCCACAGGCACCAGATAAGCTCTGTGAAAATCATGCACATGTGTTGGAAACCCTGTGCCTGACGGTGCTATTTAACTCATGCTGAAGTACCATGGACTGGGGAGCAGCTTTCAGTTCAATCTGTAGCACCCTTGTTCCTATGGGGGTGAAGCTTCCTTTCTTAAATCACCCAAGGACAATTTTCCATTACCTTTTCATCCCTGTTTTACAGCAGTGTTCTGTGACACTACAGAGCTTTGTCCTGACATCTCAGGCCAGTCTCACTCCTTTGACACTTGCTGTGATTTTCAACATTTTAATATTTATTTATAGAGGTAAATCTGAACAGCTATCATTGACATATTTGTAGCATCTAGCCAAAGTTGTGCACTTAAGCAATTCTGTTAACAGAAATTTCGTCATTGCTTTCCATGACTTGTATTTTGATTTATTTCCATGAACTATAATTCCGTGTGGTTTTACGGGCTCTTCGGGGATCTAGCCTGTTTCTTTCACAAGCCCATGTCAGCGGCAGCCCTTTAACCATGTTGCCAACAGGACATTTTCAATTGCTTCAGGTTTACCAATATAACTTAGCAACACACTGTCCTTAGATATTAATAGTGCCAGACCACAAGACACACAGACGTTTATTTTCTCAACAGCAGACAGTGCATGAGAAAACAGTGTTGTATAGAGTGACCTGCCATCCAGACAAACTGATTGACCACTGACATCTCCCCAGCAGTAGCAAGAGGTACTGTATGAGCTGTCTCTTTCCCAAGAAAAACATGTCCCATCTGTGGTTTGTAATTTTGGAAAGTAACAAGTCGCATGTAAGGAATTACTGTATTTGGATTACATTAACCAGTTTCTAGTTAAGACCTTTAGTCACTGTATAACGATACCACTTGATCCCCCTGCTGTAAGCTACTTTCCTTTATTTGTAACAGTAGGGATTCTTATTTCAGATGGGTATATAAATGTGTTAACATATTATTGGCTGTGGGAAAAAAGTTATTTTGCGATACATCTAGAAAATGCACTTGTCACTGGTGCTCAAGAACGAAACACTCTGGCTCACATCTGGAATGTACAAAAGTATGATGACCTATGACTATAAAGCAGCATTGGCAGACTTACATAGGGCACTTTAGTGTGAAGCACTAAATGAGTTGAAGTTGAAGCAAAACATGATTATGTTTTTTAATGCAAAAAATCTTCTACTTTTGGCACTCTTTGCAACAACCATAGTAGTGCACCTCTCTTTGTTTTCAAAATAATTAGTAACTATAACTCCACTTGTTCAAGTAATTTGTAACTATAATGGGATTACTTCAGAAAATAACTATTTAAACAGAGATGCTTTGGAAACATCAGATCACAATCTTCCGTGAAGGATAAAGTCTTTGTATTTATACCGTATGCACTGTCCAGTGGGCAGGACCCCACTCTCACTCTACATTCCCATTCCCAAGGCCCACTGTTACCCAAGTTGATCACCAAACTTTGAACTGGCACGCACAGATTTAAAAATATTTAAACTCCAAGAATGTTTTCTACCATAAGCAAGATGTTAATGTGTTTATCAAGCTACGAAATTCATAACTCAACAGCTGCTTAGGTCAGAAAAATGGGAGCAAAACTACAAGGCTGAGGTAGAGGGCCAAAGAAAATAAAAAGCTTGCTACATTCTGGACTAAAAAATCTTTAGCTCCCTGTCACCCCTGAACTCTCACGTTCTGCCTCCATTAGAACTACTGCTGCGAGGACAAGGAAAAAGAGTCTTGGTGGTTATAAGAGTGTCTGACAAAGTACCCTTTTGAACTCCCTGTGTTTGAAAAACACAAACTTTCTAGTAAACACTCTAGTACACAAGTATCCACTTCAGTGCAAAACTGTGCCTTCATGATGTTGTGAGTTAACTGTACTTTCACTCACTTCATTTAAGAGAATTTCCCCTTCATGTAAACGAAGGAGAGTAACATTTTACCAACAGCAGGTTTGCAATAACAATCACAATTATACCCCTATCTTTTAAAATGTTATGTGGAAATTCCTTTCCACATTTTAGAGAGCCTGTTTGTAGTTATGGGGGAATTCACAAGGATCAAAACATTTGGAACAAATTCATTATGTAATAACAAGGCCGTGTAATTTACATTGAGAAACCCTAAAAAGAGGTGTTCTCCCCTCCTGTTGGCTCCTCTGCTGTTCTGTTCCTGTACTATACAGTATGTCAGCCTTCTCCATGACCATCTGCATGAGGCTCTGCATGATGCACAAAGCTAACACTCAAGGTGAATGCTCAAATCGGTCTGATTGGTGAAGTACCACAGTGATCTGTACTTAGGACCCCTCCATTTCTTCATTTACAGCAATGATCTAGATTCTGGTATATTCTGGTATGGCTAGTAAACTAGTCAACTTTTTAGATGGTACCAAAATAGGAGGATTAGCTGACACTTCAAGACAGGGTAAAAGCTTGACGTGCAGAGTTTTGTAAAACGTGCAATGTGCATCACAAAAGAGACTAAGTTTCAATGTGTACATAGCACCATATTGCTGTCATTGTCTGAGATTATGAACATGGCAACAAAAGCTCAAGTGACACAAAAGACCAACTACATTGAAAAAGTGCTTTAGACCAAGTGAATTTTGTGACTATATGCATTTTAAATATTTGTACCAACATTGGGTACTTGATACTTTTATTATGTATTGCAAAAAAGGAGCAACCCTGCCAACCAACTAAAATACATTCATGTTCATTTTCACGTTTTCGAAAAGTGCCCTATCATTTACATTGGTGGTTATTTTATGGTAAATCACACTTTAAGGAAGAATTCTAGCAGGACTTATATTTTTGAGGGACTTGCTGTGCCATACTGTAGTCCATTCCGTGACCTGAACAGTTGATTTGAATGAGTGCAATTGAATTGAATTTAACATACTGTATCGACTTTAAGAGAGATTTGCTGACAAATACTATTTACTTGTTAACTCAGTATGCTGGTGAAATGTCTGCTCAACTTGTACTTAATTTGATCGTATATCATGCTGAATCTCATCAAGAAACTTGTAGATGAAACGAACTTCAGTGCCCATATTTATTACTCATCTCGTGGCTGGTTGACCATTCCTTAGAAAAGCAAACTGTGTGACTTTCTGCTGATCCGATTCTCTGTTTTGTGTGTAACCACTATGTTCTGAACAGCCAAAGTTTAAAATATGTATGTGAGTTCAAAAAGACAAAAAAGGCTTAGCTTTGTTAGGAGACTACATTTCTCATTGGATTGCAGAAACTAGGGAGCAGGAAGGGCCTCTTTAAGCCACAATTCACAGGAACTCTCGCTCTCACCTGTGACGAGACCAGCAGTTGCTCATTTGCTAGTAATAACATGGCAACCATACAGTACTTTCAAAAAGTTCACAATTTTGCTCTTCATTCGAAATTTGTAAATTTTTGCGATACCATCAATTTTGTTACTAAGATTTAATATACAGTAGGATAAATTGGGACAGCAGTTTCCCTTTAAATACAATGGAGTAGAAACTAAACTAAAAGAGGCCATTTATAGAAAACAAATCATTTATTTCTTTTGGACAATCTGACAAAGCAATGAAAAAGGCTGACAAATGTTAGGATATATACTTAAAAGCACATAATTTATATCAAGCAATGTTATGTAAAATTTTATAATGCACTAGTTAGGCCTCATTCAGAAATTTGTGTACTATTTTGGTAACCACATTATAGAAAACATATTGCTTCTCTGGAATAATGTCAGAGAAGAATAACCAGATACATTCTGTGGCTTAAGGAAAAGTCCTACACTAAGAGGTTGAAGGAACTGAAGGAAGTCTCAAATCCTGAACAAAGAGTAAACATAAATAAAGGCTTTTTTCATTTTGCTGCTAACTACCAAATGGGATGCTGGGCCAAATGGCCTTCTGTCACGATATTAGTTCCCCCTCCTTAAGGGTGCTCCAGCCCTTTTACTCAAGACTTCATTCTCTGCACCTGTTTCCCATTCCCTGCCCACCTTAAAAGCCAGGCGCTGACGTTCTTCCGGGCTCTGCACCTGATTTCCATATCATGCGAGTCGGGGACCTGGAAGCGCCTGGTCCCGTTAAGGTTTTAATCTCTGTTCCCGTTCCCCGTCCGCCGGTTCCGACCCGGCCTTCGTGGTTTTTTAATTCTTGCTCTGATGGATCTCCTGGTTTTGGACTTACCCTTGCGTTTTGGATTTTCCCTAAGGACTACTCTCGGATTGTTCGCCTCGGCCACACCTTCCCCGTGCACCAGCGCACCTTGGACACGCTCCCCTGTCTTCAGCCCCGTCTTCCTGCATGACGTTTCCCTAGTGTTTCCCCCACTCTGTCGGACTGTGTCATCCGCATAGGGTCCGGAAAGAACTGTTCGTTACACCTTCTCCAGTTTGTAGCTGGTGTTATGTTCTTATATCATGGCCTGTATTGTTAATACCTGTTCTGTTTTGTTCTGGATGTTGTGTTGCATAAACTCTGCGTGTTGGGGTTTTATAATTCCAAATGGTCACATGCATTGGCCACATGTCTAATCTTTTTGCTGCATCCCTTAATCGCACTGTAAACATCTTATAATTGTGTAGAGTATAGAAGTTTTCAAAATGTTCCTTAGTTCCATAGGCAGCCTTTTGCCTATCCTAGAAAGAGCCTCTTCGAGGCTGTGGAGTGGGCCTCACCAAATGAGAGCACAACTTCACAGTATCATAACCCCTCTACACTTTTATACTGAACAAGTATGTAAAGCTGTCGGAGGCCTCATTCAGCTCTTTCATGCACACAGTGCGTTAAAGACATACCAGCCACTGCTAACTGTATATCATGGAGCTTGACACTACT